GCTTTGACTAATTAAAGATTATTATATTTAACAGGTCAGTACTTTATTCAATAGTTCCTAAATCTTTCCAGATCACAAAAATTGTTGAACACTTCTACCAACCTCAATATGAATCTCTGAGGTAAGGTTGGATCATACCCATGGTTTCAATACAACTGTGTTATCTTCCTGTATTCAGCTGAGAGTGGCGGCACTGGTCTGTAATTCCAGCACTTGGGAGCTGACAAAGAAGGAGCACCATGAGTTCAAAGCAAGCCTGAGCTACACAATGAATTCAAGGCCAGCCTGAACTACAAAGTGAAACCCTGTCTCAACAAAACAAAAACAAGGAAGGAAGGAAGGCAGGCAGGCAAGCAGAGGACTGATTTACCCAGTCCTCGTTAAAAAAATGAATCCCAATCCCAATGTATACACACACACACACACACAATATTATGCATCATAAAAAGGATGAAATTCTGTCATTTGAAAAACATGGTTCAGTATGTTAAATGAAGTTAGGAATAGAAAGACAAATACCACATCTCGGGGCTGGGGATTTAGCTCAGCGGCATAAGCACCTGCCTTGCAAGCAGGGGGTCGTGAGTTCGATCCCCGGTACCGATAAAAATGAAAAAGACAAAAAAAAAAAAAAAAAAGAAGAAGAAGAAGAAAAGAAAAAAAAATACCGCATCTCATTTGTATGTGAAATCTAAATTGATCGCGGAAGTTGAGAGTAGAGTGGTTTCCAGAGAGTGGGGAGGGAAAGGCAACAGAGAAAGGTTCATCAGTGGGTGTTAAATTACCGTTAAGCTAGAGCAAAAAGTTCTGGTGTGCTGCTAAACAGTAGGATTACTACAAATAACATTAATTACTGCATATTTCAAAAGACTAGACTAAAGGAGTTTGAAAATTCTCACCATAAAGAAATTCTAAATGTTGGAGGGGACGGATACATTTAGCCTGATTTAAGCATTACATAGTACTCCATTAATATGTACAATTTTTGTATTTCTGTATACTAGTTAATTTTAAAAAATGATGCTGGGGATTTAGCTAAGTAACACGAGCGCCTGCCTGGCATGTATGAGGCTGTGTTTGATCCACGGTACAAAAAAATAAAATAAAATAGGCTCTAAAAAACGAAATCCTACCTAATATAAAGATTATCCCAATGTTTTAAGACCCTTCAGTAAATATGTATTATTTCTACAATTGAGTAAAAATTATTTTAAAAGGAAAAATAGCTGCCTTGAACTTCATACTAGTCTTGAAAATAGTCTTAAAAGACAGAAACTAAATTTTCTGATATGAAATGGATCAAGAGCAAAGGGTTAAAGCATATTGCAGAAACCTTAGAATCTGTTCAGAAGGCAACTGACTTTTAAAGACCTCAAGCCATTTATTTAATCAAGCAAGGCACACCCACTCGCATGCAAACACTGCCTCTACCCATCCCTCTCAATTGCCTATTCTACCAATAAACACTACTTTCTTTCAAAAGCTGAATCTAATTGAATCAACCAATTAATTCTCTTGCTCAGAGCTCTACAAGCTTCTAGGGCACCTGGGCCCACCCTAAAAAGTGGGCAGTCTGCCCTCCCTTAACACCCGAGTTTTAAAATGCTATCCTAAGAACAGTGTTGTTTTTTCTTAAAGTATTTTTATTAAAGAGAATTCCTGAGAACAACAAACAACTGGAATCTTTCCGAACTAGCTAATAAAAATCAAATGTTTTTTCTCCTGGAGCAAAGGCATCTGGAACAAAATCTTATCCAAAAACCTGAAAGTACTGCAGTTGCAACATTACTTCTGCAAAGCCTTGAAGCTCTCAAGATGTCTCATCAGTCCCTGTCAAACCTGAAGTGGTACACAGTGGCCATTCTGGATATTCCTCTTGTTCCTGTCTCATAAACAAACTTCTCCTTTCCTCCAACTATCATATTAAATCCCCAGTTACTGTTTTGCTTTATTGGAAACAAAAACGGTAATCTATTTATCAAATAACCTTTTCTTGTTCACTTGCCCCCTTAAGTGTAACTTGTGGGACACACACCTTTTTCCCCTTTTTTTCTTTTCTTTTCTTTTTGGTACTGGAATCGAACTCATGACCTCAGGCTTACCAAGCAGGTGCTGTGCCACTGAGAGAACTAACACTTTATTCGACTCTGTCTTATCATTTAATCTCACTTGTGCTCCAGTGTCACCTTGAAATTGATTTTACTTATTTTAGTAAGGAGAAGACACTCTTCTAATAGTTCATTAACATTGCTTACAAGAGAAAGAAAGTTTTCTCCACCTTGGACCCGTTTCACCTCGTGGTTTTACTCTATGAAACTCCCTAGAAAAGACAGTCTTTGGCAACCCACTTAGGACCCGTTCTATCTCTCTCAGACAGCTTTCTCTCTCAGTAAACATATTCTGCTCTTAAAACAAACAAACAACAACAAAACACAACTTTTTAGCCTGGTGTGATGGCACATGCCTGAAATCCCAGCACTTGGAGGCTGAGGCAGGAGTATTGCTATGAGTTCAAGGCCAGCCTGAGCTACATAGTAAGCTCACCGCCAGGCTGAACTATACAGTAAGACCTTATCTCAACAATGACAACCACAGACAACAAAAAATGACAAAGACAACAACTTTTTAAAAAGATACTCTCTTGCTGTCATGAAGTTACCAAATGTCTTGCATGAGGAAAAAACAAAACCAAAACTCAATGTTCCTCTATATGTATGACCCAATCTACAGATCTGAACAGGGCCGGGGGTTTAGCTCAGCGGCACAAGCACCTGCCTGGCAAATGCTAGGTCACGAGTTTGATCCTCAGTACCAAAAAATAAAAAATAAAAAGCCTACTAAAAAACAGTTTTCAAGAAGAGATACTTCAGGCCTCAGAGCATTCCACTAGACCATTCTGCCAAATACCACCCATTTGAGTGAAACTGTTTACCAAATTATGTCCCAAAAAAATCAGCCAGATGTTATGCTCACAGATTTTTAAATTTCAATTTAATATGACATTTCTTCATCTTATTAGTTGGCAAGCTCTGAAGAAACATTATGCCTACAATTGCTACCTCAATTGATTCTAGGCAAAACTTGATTTACTACTTAATCAGACAATTCCTACTGACAGAAAAATACACTCAAACACAAAGCATGCCTAACATGTCATCAGCTTTCTCCTGACTTCCTTTCTTCATACTTCACCCATTCACCTACAGTCATTAAATTTCTCTGTTATATGCTGCACCACAACCAATTTTGTCTTATTAGCCATTTACATTGCTAGGAAAATAAAGAGATTCTTCTCCCACTTATAATAAGCTTATTATTATATGTGCTCTCTCACAATTATATCTTAAAAAATAAATTTTTTTTTGTCTTTTTCCTTTTTATCAGTACCAGGGATCGAACTCACGACTGCCTGCTTGCAAGGCAGGCGCTTATGCCACTGAGCTAAATCCTCAGCCCTGTATCTTAAAAAGTAAAAACCAACCTTTGAATTTGTATAATTTTTAACATCCCAGGCGGATGAAGACTCATGTATTTTCCCAAAACTCTCCAGCCTAATAGCTAACTGGTGACCTGGAGAAATGCTTTACTTTCTGTTTCTAATCAAAACAGCAGGCCTATTCATCATAGTTACTGGTATGGAGAGGAGGCTGCAGGACATTCATATTAAAGCCAACTTAAGATCACTGTCCTAGCCAGGTTTGGTGGTGCCTACAATCCTAGCCCTTAGGGAGGCTAGAGTAGGAGGACTGCAAATGTAAGTCCTGCCTGGACAATTTAGAAAGATCCTATCTTTAACACAACAGGTCTGAGGATGTAGCTCTGTAATAGAGTTCAATACTACCAAGAGAAAAAAAAAAAAATCACTGTTTTAGCAAAACCATAACAGTTATACTCTTACTGAAAGGGAACAGGCAGTTTAAAAAAAAAAACAAAGGTTTTCCTTAGTAACTGAACAAGATTTAGAATTAAAGTCAACACAACACATCCTCTTCCAGCAACTCTGGTGGTGTTTTTTTCCTTTCTTTCTTTTTTTTTTTTTTCTTTTTCTTTTTTTTGTCTCTTTTGAGACAAGGTTTCACTATGCAGTTCAGGCTGGCCTCAAACTCACAAGGATCCTCCTGGTTCAGCCTTGAGGCTGAATGATGGGATTACAGGCATGTGCCACCACATCCGGCCTTTTTCCAGCCACTTTGATCTCACATCTTTTAAGTAGTTTATCATTTAAAACATACTAGTAATTTGGAGGGTGATAGTATATGTTCGATCAGAACTGAAATATTTTAGAATTGCCTAAACTTAACTGATGATTCACTCTTGGTTAACCGGTACAGAGACTCAACACAAGTTAAAACCAACCCCTATGTGACAGCCTTGCTGCTCAAAAGGACCCCCTACTTCCACCTGGGGAGTGCAAGGAGGGTCTCACACGAGCAAACGAGGAGATAATGCTTTCCTTCCAAGTGCAAGGCCGGGTTCGCTGCCAGGTCCAGGGCACAGCGTCCTGCGTGGGGAGGGAGTCCAGGAAGGGACTGGGTGTGTTTCCACCTGGCACCGTCTCTTAACTTTCTCAGTCTCTCGAGGACCCCAAGGGTGGTGTCCTTGAACCGCTGTAATTTAAGAGGAAGCTGCGACTTCGAGGGTTTGAGGAGAGGCCCGCGTGAGGGAAAACCTCGGGTGGCGCCTGCTGGGGCGCGAGGGGTCAGTGATTGCTTCCCCGGGGCGCGGCCCGCACTTCTGGCGGGAGTAGGCAGCGGAAGACTGAACCCCGGGCTCGCAGTGGAGCCCAAGTCTCCGGGTCGAGGCCAGACGGCCTAGAGGCGCGCAGCAAGTCGGAAGCCCCACGCCGCCCAGCACACTCCGGCCGGGGGCGCTCGGTGCCCAGACCCCGCTGCCAGCACCCTGTCACCGCGGCTCCGCCCAGCCGGGCCCGGCCCCAGTTCGCAGGGATCCGGCCCACCTCCCCAGCCCGGCGCGGCCGCTCAGTCCCGTTGTCGTCGTACCTGGCCGGCGGCGGCGGCGGCGACATCGGCGCCGCTCCTCACGTACCCGTTCCGCAATTCCCCATTCGCCACGCAGCCGTTTGCCCGCACCGGGCGTCGGCAGCAGCAGCCTGCGGGCCCCGGCCGCATCGTCTCAGCAGCACTACGGGGAAGGAAGCGTCTGTAAGGAGCAGCGGCAGCAGCACTCCAACCCCGCTCCGCACCACACCGCACCCACCTCCCCGAAACCGGAAATGGTTTCAGCGCCGCCGATTCCTGGACTGGCAGTCACAAGGGGGCGGGGCCCACCCTCAGAGGACGCGGCTCGCCCAAAGTCCGGAGGCTGAGGGAGACCCCGGGCGGGGCCTGGCCGGGAGGGGCGGGCCTGAAAGCAGATGGCCAATCCGAGTGAGTGGAAGGCGGGAGATGGCTGCTGTGTGACCAATCAAAGACCATAATAAAGCAGTTCGCGGATATAGAAGGGGCTTCTCTGGCACGACTTGTGGGTCTGGCACCTGATTGGACACCTGAGCCAGATCGTGGGTTGGGCTTAGCTGCAGACTGAGGAGGGGACGGAGGGGGAAGTAGCCAATTAGAAAGTGAAGAAAGAAAGGGGCCGAGCCTAAGTCTCCAGAGTAGGTTCTGTGGTCCTCCAACCTGGTTGTCCAGGGCAGATGATGACCTCCACTAACCTTGGCTACCTGTAAGCTCCTGAATTGAATCCAAGCCCAACACAGGCAGCTCCTTTATTTCATTAGCAAAATCCTCTGTGAGTGTTACTGGAATAGGTTTTTTTGGGGGTATTACCATTCTTCAATATACACCACACATAAACACTTTTTTTTTCTGCTGCTGCTATTACTGCTCTGAGAGTTGAACCCAGGGACTTGCTCACGCCTCTCACACACGCCATTCACTTTTGTCCCTGCCATGGTTTTCCATACAATATCCTTAAAAGTCTTTCCTTGAAAGTCAAGAAACTTGGTCTAGTTCCAATTCTGCCAATAATTAGAAGCTAAAAATCAAGGTTTAACCCACTTTGGCACCCAAATTTTGTTAAATAAAATCAATATTTCTGCTTCATAGATTCATTGCAATAATTATATTGGTTTAAGCAACTATGAAAATATTTGACCCAGATTAGGAACATAATAAGTATTATTTTCGCAGCCATTTAGCACTGTCTTCCCAGAGTAAGTTATAAAGAAAATTGACCTACATTACAGCAAGAGATTTTCCGTTACCCATAAAGAATTTAGTATCATAGTTATGAGTGTGGACTCGAGTCAGTCTACATTTGAATCCTAGCTGTACCCTTACTAGCTGAGTGGCCTCTAGGTCTCTTCCTGTGTTCCATGGGAATAATAATAGTTGTCATGAGGCTCTAATGTACTTTGTACAGGACCTACCTAGCAATTAGTAAGCATTCATTAAATACTGGTCATTATTAATTGCTGAATGTGCCAATGAGCATCACTGCATTTTCTCCTACTTCCCTGGAACTTTAGAAACCTGTTGACTCGGTATCAGTAATGCCTGATTCAGGAACTAAGCAATCTAGCAGCAGTTTGGAAAGACTCAGATCCCTTTAGGGAGGAGGGGACAGCACTGGACATTGAACCTAGATCCACTGCACTGAGCTACGTCCCCGCCCTTTTTATTTTCTGTTTTAAGAAAACGTCTTGCTAAATGGTTAATTTGCCCAGATTGGCCTGGAGCTTCTGATCCTCTTGCTTCAATCTGCTTTATAGATTCATTGCAATGATTGTATTGGTTTAAACAACTATGAAAATAGAGTGATGGGATAACAGGGGTGTGCCAGCACACTCTGCTCATATATCTTCGAGTCAACAAACACTATGATCACTAGATAAACACAAACCTATGGATGAGGCTAAAATAGGAGCTTATATTCCATGGAGCTTACATGGAGAGACAAGATGTACACATATAAAAGTAATCAATACAAGGCCATTGCAAAGCTGGAGAGATTAGGCAACAGGAGTTTTAATAGGGAGACTAGGTGATAGTTTCAATTCAGATTTCCATATGGGAAATTTCAGGCAGGAATCTGGTTGAAAGCAGAGCTACAGGATTTAGTAAAAGTTTAGGCAGCTGAGTGAATGGGAAGGAAGATGTGGAATGAGCTAGATCTTGGAGGAGTAAGATTTAGCTGAAACTGAAAGGGCAGTGAAGGGCGTTGTGGAGGAAGGGAACCTGCAGAATAGGTACAGAAGGTGAGAGAGCAAAGCCTGAACTGGAACCTAGCAAGAGTAAAGATGCCTGGCTAGATTAGAGGAATCGTGTTAGCCAGATCCTTTCTTCTGCAGTCAGGATATGAGCTCTTTATCTTGTTCTGCCACTTACTTGGCTTTGATCCTGAATGATTCATGCAAACTCAGCCCAGGTTTCCTCACTCTTCTTATGAAATTAATACCTGAAATACTTCCCTCATAAGGCTGTGGTGAACATCAATAGGATACACAAATGAGCAGTTTACTGTGTACAGTGCTAAATTGCAAAAAGCATGCCTCAGTAGGCATCAGGAAACACCACAGATACACATAAACAGGAGACAACTTCTCCCAGATGTGTACGCTACTTCATCATTTTACAGAGTTCATATGCAAAGTTCTATGTTACATACCAGGAATACAACCCTCTTCTTTCTCCAAGACTATTCACACCTTGAATGGATGAAGGAATAGGGAAAAAAAGAATCATGCCATATCATGTTCAGGTACAAATTCTTTATGATGAATGTGATCGTTATATATATGCAAAATGTGCCAATAAAACCCAATTTAAAAAAAAAAGATCACACATCACTTCAACTACAAGCCTTTCTTGAGCTTCAGCCTCCCTACACAATTAGTCACTTTCTTCTCTGTGAACTTTGTAATATATTCGTGTATGTGTCACGTTGCTTTGCAATTCTTTGAGAGGGAAGTGCTTATAGCAAGAGCTCTACTGTCAAGATTGAAGGTTCAGTTTCAACACTTCCAAACCTTGTCACTTGGGCAAAGCTGTCTAACTTCTCTGTGACTCAATACCTTCATCTGTAAAACAGGACAAGAAAAGCATTTACTAACCAGGCTTGTTACATATTCAATGGGTGGTGGCAATTATTAAATTAAAAATTATGTATTAAATTAATGAAAGATTGAATGCATTTATGACTTTAATTAGATAGCAAGCTCTTAGGGTTCAGGGGATTGCCTAATCCATCTTCAACTGTGTAATTTCAAGTTCCCAGCACTTAGGACATAACTGGCACATAGCAGGTACTCAATAAATGTTTGATGGATGAATAAAGGAGTGAATGAATGAAATTTTAGCCTATTGCTAAGGAGTCTTCATGGAGACTATATTAATTAATGTTGTTTTGGTTACAGATAAGCCAATATAAGAAAACTTATGAAAGATAAATTTATTGGAAATTTCTTGAAGCTAGGGCAGTGTCAGGACACATGACAAGTCTTAAACATTAGCCTCAGAAAATTTCAGACCTTCAGCTGGGTGTGAGGGCACAGGCCTGTGACCAGCACTTGAGAGGCTGAGGGGCCAGGGATTTAGCTCAGTGGTGCAGTGGCAAGTGTGAGGTCCTGAATTCAGTTCCTGGTATCCCTCCCAAAGAAACTCTAAGAAGACACCTTCAGCCAGCTGTCCTGGCACACATGGCTATGCTAGGACTTGGAGGCCAACATAGGATCAAGAGTTCAAGGTCAGTGCCAGCCTAAGCTACCAAGGGAAACCCTTTCTCAAGAAAAATACTAAGGGCTGGGGGTTTAGCTCAGTGGCATAAACGCCTGCCTGGCAAGTGCAAGGTCGTGAGTTCAATCCCCAGTATGGCACAAAAAAAAAAAAAAAAAAAAAAAAAAAAGACAGAGACACAGAGACAAAAAGATACTAATTATTGGTCTAGAATAGGGAAACCCAAGATGGAAGTTGGGGAGTAATTGCCTTGGGTTGGGGTTAAGGGGCAGTGGGGTACAGGGGGTACTGAATAAGAATAGAGAGACATGAGATGATGAAATGTTTTAAAATTAAAAATGGCTGAGCAACTAAAAACCTCTACTTTAGCTGAGCTGCATAGTGCATAGTGACACCTTTTGTCAAAAAGACAAAAACAAAAACAGAAACCACTGCTTTGTATACAATGTGCTGAGCTTTATGCCCATAAATTGCTTTTTTTTTTTTTTTTGAGACAACATCTCACTATGTAGCCAAGGCTGACCTCAAATTTGTATCAATCCTCCTGCCTCAGTCTCCGAAGTGCTAGGGTTACAACTGTGCACCATCACACCCCAGCTATAAATTACATCTAAATAAAGCTATTAGAAAACAAAATTTAAGATACTTTATTTAAAAATAATAGGGGGCTGGAGATTTAGCTCAGCGGCATAAGCACCTGCCTTGCAAGCAGGCAGTCGTGAGTTCGATCCCCGGTACTGATAAAAATGAAAAAGACAAAATAATAATAAATAATAATAATAGCCAGCAGTCAGGAGGCTTAGGCAGGAGGATTGCCTCAAATTCTAGAACAACCTAGGCTACATACAGAGTTTGGAGCCAACTTGAACAAAGCCAGACCTTGTCTCAAAAAAAAGTTTAAAAAAGGGATGGGGATTTAGCTTAGTGGCATAAGTGCCTGCCTGACAAGCACAAAGTTGTGAGTCTGATCCCTGGTAACCAACAAAAAAAGTTTTAAAAAATGCATACTGTCCCTTTCATGATGGAGAAGGGACTATGCTTTTTTGTTTTTGTTTTATACCGGGCATCTAACTCAGGACCTTGTGCTTGCCAGGCAGTGCTGTGCCCCAGTCCAGGATTATATTTTTGAAATGTGTAATTTCATTCTCTCCCTGCTGCTCCACTCATAGAACCCTTGATACCAAGTGAACAAAAGAAAGAAAAGAAGAGATGAAGAGATGGGGGAAAGGAAGACGATGTGACTATGATATCCCTTCGAGAGCTGTTTATTCACTTTGTGTGCCACTTTGCTGGTCTCCTAGGGCATCACTAACTTACCCAATGGACCCTAGTGAGTAGCGGAGGGGGAATCGGAATCCACGTGTGTGTATTTTTAAGCTCATCTCCTGCATATTCATTTTTATGGTTTGATGCTGGGGTCTGAAGATTTTGAGACAGAGAGTGAACACGAGTGAGGTTCCCATGTGAGCAGGTGCATAAGGGCGCAGGGAAGTCCCCAGGGAAGCAAAAGCGTATGTGCTGAAAACTCACACTGGGTCTGCTGGGGTTCAAAAGCCCAGTAAATAACAGTCCCTTCACCCCAAAGTTCTGAACCACACAAGAACAAAGGCGAGTGGGACAGCTCTTGAGGCAGAATGGAAGCACTCAGCCAACCCAG